CCATCTCTTACAAAACAGCATGAGTGGCAAATTGGCTTTCCTTTTTGGGTAAAGTTTCTACAAAGCTTGCTGATAAAACTCTTTTATTTTACTTTCTGCAAAACAATTCCATTACTTCTGGAGCTAAATGGAGATGTAGCTGATAATGGACTCAATTCTTCAAGTTTAAAGCAGAAGCTGGGGTCATAAAGACATGGAATCCTAAAATACTCTCCAAAGTACAGTCCCCTCTGGCTAAGGTCACCTTTGGGAACATTTGCTGAGAATGTGTACCTCATAGACACATCACCTCTGAACAATTCTCACTTTCTGTAAAAGCCATCAAATTTTGGGGGAAAGGGAGGAGAGATTTTCAGCTCATCTTCACATGAACTGTGAAAGTGTCTTTTTTTTTTTTTCAAGAAGTGTCTCAGAAACCTGACTGAAACCTCAAAAAAGAAAATACCCTGAATGACACCTTTGTAAACTTGAGCGACTTAAAGTCACTCCAAAGCACACTATCTGCTAGCTGTATGTAGAGGCCTCTGTCAATGCACCCTATTGAAAAATACAAAAACAGGACACCTCTTAAATTTTCTCCTGCTGTAGTGCAAAGGGCTTTTGCAATTTTAGTTGACATCAGTGCATTTCAACCTGTACTTGTTGAGTATGCCTAATAGATGCTTAATACTCACCAGGTGGAAGGATGTCTAACTAACAGCCTCCTGCGTTGGCTTTTCCCCCGACATCCCACGTAACGGGGCTTGATGGAAGTGCCACCATTCACCATTCGTGTTCTCTCCTATTTTTGATTACAGCTGTAAAGGTTCAGGATTAACTGGAGAAGACTACTTTAAGCACATGCGAACTCTGTTGGCTCCGAATAAAAGCTGTATTGTTTATTAGCACTGGGCAAGTAACTGTTATACTTAGATCTTTTAGCATTGCTTTCTTTCTCTTTTTTTTATGATGACAGTTCTTCACAGTTGCCAAACTAAAGCTAAAGGAAACTTTCTCAATCTTTATGATGCTTTCATCAGATAACCAATATGAAATGTTTTCCAAAATACTGTGTCTCCTCAGACTTTAGAGTTTGTTCTTGGGAAGTCAGAGATAAACAAAGATGGCCTTAATAAATCTCTCTAACATTGTAAATACACAGTTCCTGGTTCTTTTTCCCCTTGGGGCAGTAGGCCAGGCATCACCAACAATTCAGATATGCTGGCCTTTGTCAAAGATTGGACAGCATCAAAAAAAATATGATTTAGCAAATTGTTGGAGATGACTAGAATGCTTTTTAGTAGTTCTGCCATAATTGAAAATCAGCGGCCTTCTGCAGAAACCAATCTATGCCTTTGATGAGGTATTGAATTGGGCCTGAAGAATAATCTCTGGAAGGGGGATATGTTTGCTTTCTAAGAGATTGAAATTCCAGGGAGAATATTTAAAACTGATTTTGGCAGCCATTCGTGAACCCATGTTTGGGTCTGGAGTATTTTGAGGTGCTTTGGTTTATTGTTGATCATTTGGTAGGAAGGAGATGAGGGTATTCCCTTCCCTTCCCTGAACTGCCATTAGATCCCATATTAGTTTTCTAGGGTTATTATAACAGTGCCACAGATCAAGTGGCTTAAACAACAGAACTTTATTCTTTCACAGTTCTGGAGTCAAGAAACTTAACATCAAGGTACCAGCAGGGTTGGTTTCCAGTGAGGTCCCCTCCATGGCTTGGAATTGGCCATCTTCTCTCTGTGTCCTCACATCACCTTCCCTCTAGAGATTTCCATGTCCAGACTCCCCATCTGTGCCAGGTGAACTTAATGTCAACTTGACTGGATTAGAGGTTCCCGAGAGGATGGTTGGAGCATCAGTGGATTAATCTACTAATATTTATACCTGAATGAGCTGTTGGGAAATGGAGCCCAGGTGGAGGTGGGTCACTGGGGCTATGCCTTTGGCGGTATATCTCTTCTGGTGCTCTTCCTCTGTGCTCTGCTTCCCAGCATGATGAGAGCAGCTCCGCTCTGCCATGCCCTTCTGCCATGATATTCCCGCCTTCGAATCACCCAGCCATAGACTGAACCACTGAAACCATGAGCCAGAATAAACCTCTCCCCCTTGAAGCTGCAGGTGTTGGATATTCTTTCCCAGTGGTGAGAAAGCCAGCAGATACATTGTCTTACAAGGACACCAGTTTTACTGGATTAAAGCCTACTATACTGACCTCATTTTAACTTAGATCTTCAAATACTGTGTGATTACATTCTGAGGTACGGGGAGTGTAAGGGCTTCAGCATATGAATCTGAGAGAGCACAATTCAGCATATTACAATTGTGATTCAGGATCTCCATGCCAAATCTATAACACCTTTGCTTTATAATGATAAGAAGGGAAAAAGAAAGGGAAAAAAGAGTGTTCCTGAATTTCCCACAAGAACTGGTTAGTTTCTGCAGCAAACTTCAATATGAGAACATTAAAAATTCCACAGAGAATTCTCAATTCTGCCTCATAACATTCCTATGATGTGGGTGCCAGTGTCCACTTTATCTTTTGTAGATGAGATAATGAAATACGGGCCAAGTTTGGTGAAGACACAGAGCTTAACACACTGAAAACAAGGACTTGAACCCAAGCAATCTCATTCTAGAACCTGAGCTATTTGTCTCTTCATAATACCTTTTCCTACTTGGATTGGCAGCTAACATATTTGTATCTGTACCCAGTACTATATTGAGAATTTTCGGGCCTTTCCAGAAGTCCTAGGTGCTAGCTCCAGCTCTGCTAACGCTTGCTAAATGATCTTCACTTAGTAAATTAACCAACCCCCACATATGTAAAATGAGAGAATTGGATTAGATCTATGTTTCTCAAACTTTTGGGCTGGGATTTACAATCAATACATTTTACTTTGGAATCCAGTACATAGCCATTGAGTGCATAACTGAAACTAGTGTTTCCTCCAGTGCCTACCTTCCCTACATGTTAGCACTCTCCAGTACTTTCTATTCTGTTCTAGTAGATTTGATTATTTTTAAATAATAATTATGACCTACCCCATCGCGTCTGTCAAAAGGCCAAAGTAGGTGACCCAGTTTAGACTCCTGTGACCCTAAAATCCTTTTAGCCTGTATGTTTGGAGCCTCTCTTGTCTGAAATACAGTCATTTATTTATAGCACATGATTAGTGCATGCTACTGGGTACAACATCCTTTTTAGCTCCAGTGTGAGCTAATTGTATCATAGTAGTAATAATCACGTTTATTGTGTACCTCCTGCGTGCTAGAGGTTTGCAATCTAGTGTCTCCTGTAGCCTATAGTTTGTGTATATTGTGATGTCTGATTTGTGTACAGACAAACCCAGGACCAGATCAAGTAATGTGTTGAAGACCCCACAGGAAGTAAGTGGCAGGGCTGAGATTTGGACTAAAGTTGTTCTAATTCCCAAGCCCTTACACACAGTGTTTACATTTAGGGAGGACCAGTAAAGGGTTTAAGAAAAGTCAAATGTGGAAGCTACCACCGCTGAACATAATTTCTTCCCTTACAGTTTTTTATCCTCGGCAGAAATGACCATACCTTAGGGAGAAGCTACCATGATAACAGTGATTATAAACTCCCCCGAGGTGTTTTCCAGTCTTCCCACTCTTGTCCAGGCCTCCTCGACCAGTTGAATCACAATCTCTAGTGACAGACGGAATCCAGGCCTTTGTATCTTTTACAGGCCCCTAGGTAGCTCCAATATGTAGCCAAGATTAGAAACCATTGCCTTGAAATCTTGGTTGAAGAAATGAAAGAGCTGTAAGGAGCTTTTCCATCTTACTTCCTCTAAACAAGATTTAGTAAAATACTGCTTAAAGCTTTTTAGCTGCTCTTACAAAACTGGGAAGCTTAGGACGTTTGCTAATTCTTTGGAGCACATCATGCACACACAAACACATAGACACACAGATAAACAACTTTCTCTCCGCTCTTCAAGGCTTAAAAGAAGCAGCAAATGCCTCCGGCATGGAAGAGATGTTTAAAATAGCTGCAATGTCTCTGTGATACTGCTTAACACATAATTTTGAAAGGCGTTTTTTATATAACTAGAGAAGTCAGCTGTTGAATTCATCAGAAGTGAGTGTGACCAGTAGTCACAGGCCCAGTGGCCTGGAGGTGATGTCGATAGCCAAGCCAGACGAAAGTCACAATAAATGGGAAGCCATCACATTTGCTTTAAAAGAGCATCGGGAACAACTTCCTTGTTTGCACATGAACTATGAAAACTTCTACTGTCAAATCTGGGATCCTCCCCCACACCCTTTTCCCACAGGAATAGTAAGTCGTCCTTTTAGGAACCTCTTGCCCTGATTTAACATCTATGTTATTGCAGTATGTGATTGACCTATTCACTTGAAAATGCAGCACATCCACGCTGCTTTTACTGTGTTCCCTGCAGCTGTCTCCAAAACAGGGGCCGTATCTTACTGCTGGGGTTTTCCACGTCTTAGAAGACAGCCTTATTCATGTTAAAAATGTCTGCAATTTTCATATTGCAGAGAATAAAAATACAGTCCAGCTGTCCCTCCGGATGTGAGGGAGGTTAGTTCTAGGACCTCCCACGGACACCGAAATGCACAGACGCTTAAGTCCTTCGCTCAAAATGACTTTGGCTTTGCCTGCCTGCTTCTTTATGCATACTTCAGATCATCTCTAGATTACTTACAATACCTAATACAGTGCAAATGCTGGGCAAATAGTTGTCACACTGTACCGTTTATGGAATAATAAGAAAAAAGTCTGTAGACATGCAGTATGGACACAATGTGTTTAAGAACTATTTTTCATGCAGTTTGTTAAACCAACACACAGAACCTATGGGCGTGAAGGGCTGACTGACCACAGCAAAGAAAACTCCATTCTATTCTGAAGGATGGTCCCCTATTTCCCTCAGGGCCCTGGATGCCCAGCTTCAGCTCCGCAGGTGAACGTGCCATGCCTCTGTTTGTCTCTCGTAACGGCTCCCGATGTTTGCTTACAGAACGAAGTGGCTGCGCTTCTGAAACCCATCTCGGAAAAGATTCAGGAAATCCAAACCTTCAGAGAGAGAAACCGGGGGAGTAACATGTTTAACCATCTCTCGGCCGTCAGCGAAAGCATCCCGGCCCTGGGATGGATAGCCGTGGTGAGTCTGGGTGCCCCGGGGTCCCGTCACCTGGTCACATGTTTTCGTGCTCAGGAGACATCGCCTCCCCTCCACACCCCTTTGTCCACCATCTGCTGCATGAAAGGAAGGTTGTCTTAAGCTGAAAGATCAGCCTTTTCTTGCTCTGTTTAAAATGTGCTGCTTTCTATTCTGAGAAACAGAGCGTGTTTGACAACCTTTCCAGAGCACAATTTGCCTCCAGCTTCCAACCATACTCCCTTGCTTTTCTTCTTCTCGCTTATCTTTTTTTCTTTTTCCTCCTATGCTTGGGTGATGGTCCTGTTTTCTCAGTCCCCCAAACCTGGTCCTTATGTCAAGGAGATGAATGATGCCGCCACCTTTTACACTAACAGGGTGTTGAAGGACTACAAACACAGGTACGTACCTTCTCCTACCGGATTTGCATTGATCACTTTTTAGACATTTGTTCCTAAAACTTAGTTAATTCCTGATCTCTTTCCATGGCTCTTTATGTACTGTAAACTTTAAAGAAAAATTTCATCTTTGCAGAGAAAGCCAAATGGAAAATGGAATCAATCATCCAGATAATATGTGGGTTTTAGGAAGTGTGCCTCAGTCCTCTCGTCATGACTCATTTGAATGTATGTTACTACTTTATGTCTGGAGGACTGGCTCCTTGTGGCCACAGAGCCTTTGCATTGATTAAAGTAGGTTGATGAGTGAACAGGTAGAAGAAGGGGGAATCAGGAAACAAAGTGAAAATCAAGAACAGGGGTGAGGTGAGACGGTAATGCAGGTAGCAGGAGGGAAACCCGATGGCGTTCAGATGGAGTCCGATTGGAGCGGACGGAGGGACATCCGGGAGAACAGCAGCCCTTTACGGACTGTGAAAAGCACAGGTGCGTCTGGACGGTGGGGCTTCTCTGGAGACCCAGCGTGAAAAGACCTTGCATCCTGCAGCAAAAATAATAGATCCTAGAGAGGCTTCAGCTGAGGTTAGAATAGAAAAGAAGACCAAACGGAGCCACGCCAGAAATAAAGAGACATCCAGGAAAATGTCTCCTGAGCTATTTAAGGAGTGTCATGAGATTCCACTCCCTCTGATAAGGTCATGCTTCGCCTTGTAAACAGCTGGTGAAAGGTGCTGGGGCTGTTGCCTAGTAACCAGGGGAAGAGTTGGGGCAAAAATAAAAACAGAAGTGTTCCCTTTCCCCTCCCTGTGCACTCAAGAGTGGATCCCCATCTGAACCCTTGGGTGGTAGCAACAGAGGTGACACCCGTCAATAAATACAGTAGCTGCGGGGGACAGTGGCTGCTCACCAGCTCCTGACTGTTCAGATGGAATGAGATCTGAGGGCCTGAATTGTCTGGATTATCACCTTTATTTTACTAACACAGACCTGAAAATAACCAGAAGACAAGGACTGACAACAATATAAGACAAATTCTAAATCAAATATACAAAAATACATTATTTATAAATATCTGCCATATTTTCAGGTTGTTGACCAATGGTACATATTTGAAATTTGTACCAATCTTTCCTTTTTATTTTTTTATTTTAATAAATTTTGAGGTACCAAAGAAAATTTAACAAAATACATACTTTATAAAAAATCAACATGCAAAGAATACCCATACTTATATCACTTATTTTAAGAAATATCTAGTTCAATGAAAATAAAACTTCGTGCTAGTATCTGTTTCTTCTTTGTAAAAGATAAATCTTTTTTATCATTATCTTATACTCAGAGTAACTACTTTGAAGATAATACACAGTGTATTATTATTATTATTCTCTTATTATTTAGCTATGAAATTTTCTTTTTTCATAAAATTAAAAAAGAAATACCTACCAACATTTTTTACTATAAAACAACCATACCATGCAGTTCACCTCCCAGATATATATGTATATATAAAATAAATGAAAACAGATGTGCATCCAAAAGCTTATACATTAATAGTCACAACAGCATTATTTGTAATAGCCAAAACATGGGGAATAACCCACATGTCCATCAACTGACAAGTGGATAAATAAAATGTGGTATATCCATACAGTGGAATATTATTTGGGCATTAAAAGCAAGGTATTGATGTAGGTCGCATTATGAATGAACCTTGAAAATATTATGCTAAGCAAAAAAAGCCAGACACATGAAAACAATTACATATTGTATGTTTATATGACTCCATTTATATAAAATTCAGAATAGGCAAATTTGTAGACACAGAAAGTAATTCACAGTTGCTTAGGGTTGGAGAAGTTTAGGGATTTTGAGAATAACTACAAATGGATGTCAGGTTTCTTTGGGGGGATTAAAATATTCTAAATCAATTTTGGTGATGATTGCTCAACTCGAGCTAAGTTATTACACGGTACATTCTCCGTGTGTGAATTATATGGAATATGAACTATATCTTAATAAAGCTATTTTTATTACATTTTTAAAAACAAAAGCAAAAACAACCATAGATTTTTTTTTTTTTTTACTCTACCTTAGCAAAACAGATCTTGCAGATTTGGGGAACAGTGACGTTAGCAGACGTAACTGTTTATTAATTCCAGGCTCCGCTGTGGGCCCCTTTCCTCCTAGGATCAATCTGCACCCTCGACTTTGATCACAGTAATGTGCTCAGTGACAGACTTTGTGCACCCAGAGAACTGTACTGAGACCATTGTGCTCAACTGGAGGATTCCAAATGTTGCCCTATGGTACTAGAGACCACAGAATGTGTCAGTGCCTCGGAAGAGGTCTCCAAAGTGCAAAGCAGCCCATTGTTTTTACCGATGAGTTTCAGAAATAGGAAGTTGGAGTTACCAAACCTGGGTCTACTCTGCTGGCATGAGTAATTTCTTTCAGAAAGCAATATGCATGCCAATTTAGGGCAGCTTAGACGTAGCTCGGGTTCCTGCCTTTTCACCAGAACACACCTTTGCAGACCATGTTTATTTGTATCCCAGTTGTCAGTCCCTGTCCTGTCCCTCCTTGAGTGTGAGTGATCCACACCAAGGGCTAGCACACCCGAGAAGACTAGGCTTTTCACATTCTTACATGCATGCAAGGAGTTCAGGGTTTTCCCCTTCCATGTCAGTTATGAAAGAGAAAATATGCTTCAGCCAGCACAAGGTGGGCTCTGTCAAACTCAGGGGCCCCCTGAAGATGATACAATAAGTCAGGGAAAGGCAGGCAGAGGTGCAGATTCATTCATTTCACTTCTAGAGGTAATCAAACTGGCCCGAGTCACCCCTGGTGTTCCTACAGCCAGTAGCCTAATGAAAGCTGAACACCCCACATGCTCAACACCGTATGTGGGGGACCCAACCTTCTCCCTACCTAACAGTCATGAGCAACTACTGCCACCTACCTGGTAGCTAGCCCCGAGGGCCAGGGAGCTGAAAGACAGGCATGCTGTGGCTTAAACAGAGCCATGAGCAGGGGACTCATCACATCTTAGCCACCCTTGCCACTGGCTTAAGTATTGTTGACTCTTTTTCAGTATATGAGTAGAGAAGTCCCTGACTTTGGCTCTGTCAAGCTGTGCCTTCCCTCTGAGTCAGAGCCATTGAAATTCACGTTCCCCACCATAGTTCTACCAGGGTCCATGAAAACCAAGGACATGTTTGCAGCTACCCATGGGCACTGTACTGTATTTCAATCCTGCTCAACTTCTCTCTTACAGACGGACTGCAGGTGAAGGTGATTTACTGTTAGTCCTTATTAAATTTTGCTGGAACTTTCTTCAAGTCAAAATAATATTACAGAGGTTAAAAGAAAAAAAATTGCCTATATGGATTTATAACTCATTGTAAAAAATTTTAAATAGAAAGCATATCAAATGTGCATCATGAGGGGGCTGGGGATTTAGCTCAGCGGCAAAAGCGCCTGCCTGGCAAGCGCAAGGTCGTGAGTTCGGTTCCCGGTACCAGAGAAAAAC